GGTCATGAATGCTGTGTAACTGGCCGCTCTGCGCTCTAGAGGGAACTGTGACACTGGGCATAGGAGCCAACAGGAAGGTAGGAAGGAAGCTTCCTGGGGATGTTTTTCCTGGAGATGCAACCTCCTCGCCTGGGGACTGTGAGGTGGCCGGCCCCTGGGGTTCATGGGCATGTCACTCCCCTCACTGTCTGTCAGTGTCCCATGGAGTCTAGACTAGATATGCCATATCGGAGAATCTTTTGTAAACATTTTTGATCAGTGACTCACAACTTTGAAAAAGGATTATTTTTATATAAGACGATCCTTAAATTATACTTTAAAGGCCCAAACCATTTTTTTAGAATACTGTCCAAACAAGTTAATCATGCACAGACCCAGTAAGTTTTGTGGTCTGGTTCTTATCAAATTTTGAAACAATTTGATACTCATAGCCAGAGGTTTGGAGGGATTTTATAGATACAACCATTCCTGGTACTTTGCTGGCTAATTAATGACTTCTGAGTGTGGTGGGTGGAACCTTTTTGTTAACATTATTGTGAAATAACAAAATGGTTTTATATGGGGTGAGAGGCACTTTTGAAACTCCTGATCTTAAATGTATTTCAAATCTGACTCAAAAATGACGCTGCAGAAAATGTTCACTAAACAAGCCGGGCTCGGTGGCTCAGCCTGTAATCCCGCGCTTTGTGAGGCTGAGGTGAGTGAATTGCCTGAGCCCGAGGTTTTGAGACCTACCTGGGCAACTTGGCGAGACCTTATCTCCACAATAAATCAAAAATTAGCCGGGCGTGGTAGTGCGCGCCTGTAGTTCTGGCTCCTTGGAAGGCTGAGGAGGAAGGATCGCCGGAACCCAGCAGGTTGAGGCTGCAGTGGCTAAGTCTGAGTGACAGAGTGAGACTCCAACTCAAAAAAAAAAAAAAGAAAATGTTCACTAAACAAACTTGAGAATGATTGCAGATGCTAACATTTATTCTCCATGACTTAACAATGGCCAACAGTTCTGTTGGAAGAACAGAGGAAGGGAACTACTGGGGGCAACTTTTTGAATAAAGCCTTTGGACTTCTTTAGGAGTCTAATTCCTGACATTGGGACTGGTGGAAAGTTCGCGTCTTAAGCAAGAAAGATTGAAGTACATTCTGCAACTCCAGCCTTGTAAACCGTAATCATTTTTAAGGTTGACGAGCATAGTTCACTATGAAATGAAGCAAGTCATTTGGCATTTCTGCACTGTGAGTCAGTTTTGACATCAGCCTGGACTGGGAATTGACTGGAAGGTTTTGGTGTTGGCCTGTGGCTACACTGCAGCATCTCCATCCAGAGGCATGCATGAGCAATGCTTCCCTTTGGACTCCGGCCATTCATTTGTGGAATAGAGCAAGAACTGGAAAGGAAAATCTAGAGACTGCCTTGGATTGCCTGACGTCCTGTTGAATCAAAAAGCAGTGGGAGGCCCTTTCCTTCCTAACAAAAGCCTCATCCTCTTGCATGAAATTCCCAGCATCTGTCTGCATGTCAGAGACAGGCCCACTCTCGCCCATCCCTCCAGTTGATGGTCACCTTTGGGCGGGTGTCTGTATTCTGCTTATTCCAGGTGTTTTCCAGGCCACTTCCCCGATTATGTAACTTTGATCAAATCCAGATGCTGCAGAATGTTTGATACAAGAGGTCAAATGGCATTTGAGAAGAAAAGCATTTCTGTATTCATGACTTTGGTTTAATTTCCTGTGTGGGCCTGGCCTTTAGAGTCAGAAGCTCACGGCCACGAGGTGGAAAGGAAATGCACAAATGCTTTTTCAGGACAGCTGGAGGGCGGGCCCCCTTCCCCAGTGTACTTTTCCACGTTAAATTATCACTTAGTGAGTTTCAGTGGCTTCTAGTCATGGTATTCTTCTACTTTTGTAATTGTAGTCTGATAATGAACAATCCACATTCATTGCAAGAAATATAATATAGATATAATATGACATAATATAGGAAAGAATAAAGAAAACTTGAAGTGCTTGTAATCCTACCACCCTGAGCTTACTGTTCACATTTTGGTGAAGTTCCTTCTGGTCTTTGCCGGTTTTTGCAAAATCGGGATCATGCTGTATATACTGGGTGATACTGAGTATATTATTATGCATATATTCCCAAGCCATTAAATATTTTTTCCAAAAATATATTTACTCAAAAATATTTTGAGTAACTTTTAAAATATATTCTACTTTATGAATGGAGCATAAACTTACTTGTGTTGATAGATATTTTGTGCTTTTCCTTTTTGTGTGCTGTTATTTGAAATCAGTATGTATAAATCATGGTGTGGCTCTCTTAGGATAAGTTCCCAGAGGTAAATCAAAGACTATTAAATTCTTGGTTCATATTCTAGTTGCCCTCCTGAAATGTTACAGCAGTTCATACAACCACTACTAGGACTGTATGAAGCGTGCCCATTTCATTGTCGCTGTGGGTGTCAAGAAAATGTATCTGCAGATTTGATGAAGAATTTGCATTTCTTTGATTACTAGTGAGGGTTCACACATTTTACAAATTTAACAGTAATTTTAATTTTCTGTGAATTACCTATTCATGGTTTTTGTCCATTTTTTTCCATAGGGGTTGGATTTATCTTTTCTTGTTGGTACATGAGTTCTCTTATGTTAAAGCTTCTTTGCCTGACAGTTTTACCTAATATAACAACAACAGAAGCTCTTGACTGGATCCATTTAACTGACTTGCTAAATTGACCAGCACTCCCCACCTCTTTCTGAGACAGGCCTTCCTGGTTCCCATGGCACACAATAGGGCCACTCCCCACCTCCTCCTGAGACTGGCCTCCCTGGTCCCCACGATGGGGCAACCACTGTATTCTTCCTGCTCCTGCACACGTTCCCGTCCACTAGCAGTCAATTGTGTTTGTTTCTAAGCCTGCTTATTTCAGATACATGTTGTTGGAATTACTTGATTAGTGTGAAACCAATGAAATAAGTGTGAAAGGAGAATTATTTCTATGAAAAATAAGATGAATGCTTTAGAAAGACTCAGTGAAGGAGCATAACTTTTAAACCATTGACAGAATTAAGTGTAAGACAGCTGTAATAATTGGAATGGAGTGTAGAAATCTTGAAGGATTCTGCAGTGGGAATGCATGGTGAATCACTCCAAGTTTTCCTTCCACCTGCAGGAAGTTGAAACTGGAAGTGAGATGATGCGTTTTAGGTAGGACTCACAAACGAATACCACATCAAGCACTAATCACATACCCACATTCCAAAGGACAGTCCTTGGCTCTGCAGTTAAGACTAGCAAACCAGTGTACTGGGTGGGGGTGGGGATAACATACTTTAATAAGATATGATTCCTTGCTCTACCAGCTTTTTTGGTTAACTAATAATCCTGATCTTCATGGCACTAGGGTACTTTTGGAGTCAGAGTAGATACTTGGAGAAAGGGAGCCTAACACATCACTAAGCTGTTTTTGCCTTCTCAGAGGTGGCAGTGTTACAAGACCTTCTTCCTTGAAATTATCTCTGCCAACAAGATTCATAAAGTGAAATTACCAATTGTCATAATAACGTAATTTGGGATTTCCTCTTTCAGAAAAACAATTCCTGAAGGTTTACTTCAGTTAGTAGTAAAAAAGCCGGAATTGAAAGACCTTCATTATTTCTGCTCTATTGATTTATTCCAAAGAGGTATTAGAAAAGACTTATTTCTTAAAGTTTTCTGGTCTTGTTTCTGGAAGTTTAGTCTAGTTTCTCAGGTGTCTTAGGTGTCTCCTGTGTTTTTTTGAAGTGAAGGCAGAATCAGGCCCATCCTTGAGATGGGTGTTATTGCCCAAGAAAAGTTGTACAGGGATCCTCTAAATCCATAGAGAAGGTAAACGGAAATATTTTGTTTGGTTACCATTTGTGTTTGCCTCAGCATATGGTAGATGTTTCCATTCTTTTCAGATTTGAAGTTTTTCCTCCTTTTTCTTGAAGTTTGATTTTTTTATTGTAGTTCCTTGGATGAATATTTTGGATTTCACTTCATAATGTTCTTCCACTGTAAGTTCCACCCGAGTAGATTTGCTGGTTTGGAAGAACCCTTCTGCATATTGTCATTATCACAAGGACGTTCTAGAGAGTTTGAACACTATTCAAGAAAAAACAGGCAAGAAGAAACTTCAGGCAAAAATAATGAGCTGTTTGACCCTATAATAAACAATATTTACACATTTTCTAATATAAGAGCTGTTGGTTGATTTCCAACTTGCAGAATCTGTTATAGACAAAACATGGAAGATTTCATTACTACAGAATAGGAAAAACTTGCTAATTTCCACAAGGTAAAAAAGTATAAGACCATGCTTGAGAGTGGGCGTAGGGAGAAGGGAGGGTGGGATGTTAATACCCTTCTCTTGGGAAGTACGTCCCAGAGCTATGCTGTCTGAGCTGGGAGAGCAGTCAGTGAAGGGATAAATGTGTGGCTGGGTACAGGGCCCTGGTGAGCCAGCTGATCTTAGAGAGGTAGGGATGGTCACCAAACAACTGTTGTTTCTAGGGGCGAAGGGAACAGGGATAGCAAGCGTTTGTCCTTCCTTTTAGGCCCTTCCGTATGGTTTGATTTTTTAACGTATGTACATATATTAACTTGGAAACACTTTAATATGTTTTAAAGCAAGAAACTTTTCCTTCATATTTTAAGCAAGGGCAAATACATATGAGGATATCCTTTCCATTTCTGACAACAGTCATGCTGAATTAATGAATTTTAAAAGCTTAAACTATTTGGGAACAGCAATTACCACCCTAGAATGAAAATACTTAGTGTTTTTCACAAGATTTAGTAAAGAGAGAGTTTTTTTAAAACCACTTTTTTTAGATTGATAATGGTGTGTTCAGATGTTAAAAATGAAATAAATTAGGAACGTTTAATGTTGGAAGCAAAGACTTTTGCTCCTGAGAATAAGAGTAATTTTTTGTTCCAATTCCTTCTCTTCCTGTTTCTTCTTCTGTTCCTCTTTCTCTTCTAGAAGCCCTTCAGAGGCCAGTAGCGTCTGACTTTGAGCCTCAAGGCCTGAGCGAGGCTGCCCGTTGGAACTCCAAGGAAAACCTTCTCGCGGGACCCAGTGAAAATGACCCCAACCTCTTCGTCGCACTATATGATTTCGTGGCCAGTGGGGACAACACTCTAAGCATCACTAAAGGTACAGGACTGTGGGCAACTGGTGGTGATTGTGGGAAGCAGAAATCCAGTAATTACAGCTTGACCTGCTACTCTTTGCTCAGTGACAGCACAGCTGTGAAGTGGAGAATGCAGAGACATCCACAGCAGCAACAGCGTCTTGCTGAGGGAGTCGCCTCTTTAAAGAGCTCTTGTCCAGAACTGTCCTGTTTTGTCCTAAGCAAAAACAGAACTTTCCCTATTTTTCATACTGAAAGGACAGCAGGAACAATTACTGAAAGCACTTTTTCAAGTAAAAAGCATTATTTCCCCAAAAAGTTGTGGTTTTTTTTGGAGTCTGAGTTTCACTCGCTCAGGGTGGAATGCGGTGGCACACTCATGGCCACTGCAGCCTTGGCCTGCTGGGCTCAGGCAATCCTCCCACCTTAGCCTTCCAAGTAGCTGGAACCACAATTGTGTGCCACCGTGCCCGGCTAATTTTTTTTTTCTTATTTATTATAGAGACAAGGTCTCGCTAAATTGCTCAGGCTGGTCTTGAACCCCTGGACTCAGGCAATCCTCTCACCTCTACCTCCTGAAGTGCTGGGATTACAGCTGTGAGCCACCGCGCTCAGCAAAAAGGAAGAGAGCACTTGAGTAAATACAATTGGTTTTTAAAAACTGAGGCTGTATGCTTACCTGTAGGTTCAGTACACACAGGAAACTTCATATGTAAACATGCATTCTTGCACTCTTATGAGTACATGTATTTATGTGGACTTGTTCAAATGAAATCAGTATTTAGGAATTTGGAGATTTTTAGTAATCTTACAAGAATAAACGAAAAAGAAAAAAACTGTTTTTTAGAGCTGGTGTGTCTGATTTGGTTCTTTTCTTCTAAGGTGAAAAGCTCCGGGTCTTAGGCTACAATCACAATGGGGAATGGTGTGAAGCCCAAACCAAAAATGGCCAAGGCTGGGTCCCGAGCAACTACATCACGCCAGTCAACAGTCTGGAGAAACACTCCTGGTACCATGGGCCTGTGTCCCGCAACGCCGCTGAGTATCTGCTGAGCAGTGGAATCAATGGCAGCTTCTTGGTGCGGGAGAGTGAGAGCAGCCCTGGCCAGAGGTCCATCTCACTGAGATATGAAGGGAGGGTGTACCACTACCGGATCAACACTGCTTCTGATGGCAAGGTAGGGGCCAGACAGGGAACCCTTGCTTGGCAAGGAAGCTGGTGGGTCCAGGGTGGGGGTGGCAGTAGGTAGTCCTTGGCCAGGAGAACACAGAGAGCCTGCTGTCTGACTGATAAGTTATTGTAACAGAAGTCAGCCAAGGAAGTATTTAAACTGTCTTCATGTAAACAGCAGGAATCTTTCTGTTAGCTTTATGAAGACCCTCTTTTGAGCATTGGTTACGTGATAGTACAAGTTTCAGGCCTGATGTGATTCTTATTGTCCTGCTGACGTTTTGTTGTTTCTTTTTGAGTCGGGGTCTCACTTTGTCTCCCAGGCTGTAGTGCAGTCGCATGATCACGTGCTAACACAGCCTCGACCTTCAGGTCTCAGGAGATCCTTCTGCCTCAGCCTTCCAAGTAGCTGGAACTACAGGCACACACCACTACACCCAACTAATTTTTTTATTTACCGTAGAGACAAGGTCTCGCCAAGTTGCCCAGGCTGGTCTTGAACCACTGGACTCAGGCAGTCCTCTTGCCTCTGCCTCACAGAGTGCTGGGATTGCAGGCATGAACCACTCAACCCAGCCAGCAGTTTTTTAAAATAGGAGGAATACCTGTTGGATTTTGCACATACTTCTTACAGTAAGATTCTTTTACCCAAAAAAAAAAAAATTTCTTATAGGTGGCACCCAGATGATACAGTGCTACCAGTTTATTCCAGAGTTACCTGGCATATATATGCTTATACTTAAAAAGACACACAGATGATGCGTATCCCACATTGTTCTGCATCTTGCTTTTTTCCCACTTGATAATACATATTGGGCCAGGTGCAGTGGTTCATACTTGTAATCCCAGTTTTAAAAACTGCTGAATACTCAGCGTGGTGTGGGCAGGTGTACTTGCTAATCACCCATCATGAAATGTTGGGTGAAATGAAAACATGCTGAAAGAATCACCAAAAAAACCTCACTGAAGCTGAACACAGTCTCCCACAACAATATAAACTGGTACACTGATACTTACGGGTTCCTAGAACTCTTACCTAGTGGGGAAAGCCTTTACTACAAGGGGCGCACCCTCCAAAAGATAATCCCCTGGTTTTTGGGGTTTTTTGTTTTTTGGGGGTCCTCTCTCATGTGACAATAACAGATTGGAAACAACCTGAAAGTTGGCAAGTAGGGAGGGAACTGCTTAAATAAATGATGGTTCATCCATGCTATATAACCGTTAATAAGAACAGGGCAGCTCTGTTACAATCCCAAAATGTATTGTTTTATTTTATTTTATTTTATTTTATTTTGAGTTGGAGTCTCACCGTGTGACCCAAGCTGGAGTGCAATGGCACGATCGTGGCTCATCATAGCCTGCCTGGGCTCAGGTGATCCTTCTGCCTCAGCCTCCTGAGTAGCTGGAACTTTTTGAGTTTTTGTAGAGACAAGGTCTTGCTATGTTGCCCAGGTTGGTCTCAAACTCCTGGCTCAAGCAATCCTTGAGCATCCAAAAACGGCATGGCCCCCTGTGTCCTACCCTCCCTGTTCACCTGATCTTACCCCAAGTGACTTTTTTTTCCTGGGATGAAAAATGTCCTCAAAGGGAAATGTTTTGCAAATATGGAAGAGCTGAAACAAAAAATAGTAGAAGCACTAAAAGGCATCCAAATTGATGAGTCCAAAAACTGTTTTGAACAGTGGGAAAAAATGTCACAATAGGTGCAGTGCATCAAACGACGAGTACTTTGAAGGTGACTGAAGTTTAAACATGTAAGAATAAATAAACAATTTTTTATAAATAACTTCTGGTTGGGGGGGGTCCTCTTTTGTAAATAATGCTGTTATGAATAGGCAGCTTTCAGACCTTTTTAAAAATCTGAGCCCACTCTAAGAAAAACATGTTTTTCATCAATGCTCAGTATTCATACTAGTAACAAAAGTTTTGTGAAACATTACCCTTGCTGTTTATAATGCACTCTGATATTTTGTATTCCATTTTGTTCCATTTCATTTTTTTTTTTTTAATTATGATCAAGGCAGGCGTGGTGGCTCACTTCTGTAATCCGAGCATTTTAGGAGATTTAGGCAGGAGGATTGCTTGAGGTCAGAAGTTTGAGACCAGCCTAGTCAAATACCTTATGCACTTGTAGTTATAACTACTTGGGAGGCTGAGGTGGGAGGATCCCTTGAACTCAGAAGTTCAGGACTGCAGTAAGCTGTGACTGGCACTGCACTCCAGCCTAGGCAACCTAGCAAGATCCTAGGGAGACCCTATCTCTAGATAAAATAGAGACGACAGATACCGCAATTCACTAAATTTTGTCATAGACCTGCTAGTGGCTCTTAGTGCTCTCGGGCAAGACACTGATCCCTTAAAGCCTCTTTTACTTTAGAGTTTTTCATAGACCTACCATTTGAAAATATACTGTACATTTCTCTGTCTACAGTGTAAATATATGCAAATTAGTTACTAGAGGTGATTGAAGGTCATGTACATTGAAAGTTTGTATAGGCCAGGCTTGGTGGCTCAGCCTATAATCCCAGCACTTTGTGAGGCCGAGGCGAGTGGATTGCCTGAGCCTGTGGGTTCGAGACCAGCCCAGGCAACTTGGTGAGACCTCATCTCTACAATAAATAAAAAATTAACTGTGCATAGTAGCGCACGCCTATAGTTCTGGCTACATGGAAGGCTGAGGCGGAAGGATCGCCGGAGCCCAGCAGGGCAATGCTGGGGTGGCCGCGAGTGTGCCACTGCACTCCAGCCTGGGCAATGGATTGAGTCTCCATCTCAAAAAAAAAAAAGAAAGTTTATATAGCTATTGCCAAATCACCCTCTCTAGAAGTTGCACAAGTCTTTTCTCTCACAAACAACATGTGAAAGTGCCTGTTTCCTCTCACCCTCACCAAGTTTATTGTTAAACTTGTAGACCATCTTTGTTGTGCTTAGTGGTAGAGTGGCATCTCATTGTGTTTAATTTGCATGTGTCATATTTGGAGTCATCTTCATGCCATTTATTAAGTTTAGCTTTATCCTCCAATATTGTATTAGAAATCTATACTAAAGATACATATGGATTTAGGCCTATAAACCTCTCTTCCATTGGTCTGTTGATCCCTCTGCCAGTACTAAACTATTTCTTTCTGTAGCTTTATACTGTGTTTGAATATGTGGTAGGTCTAGCCTCCTCTTAATTTTTTTTTTTTTTTTTTTTTGAGTTGGAGTCTCACTCTGTCACTCCCGGCCACTGCAGCCTCGACCTGCTGGGCTCCGGCGATCCTTCCGCCTCATCCTTCCAAGTAGCTGGAATTACAGGCATACACTACCACACCCAGCTGATTTTTTGATTTATTGTAGAGATGAGGTCTCGCCAAGTTGTCCAGGCGGGTCTTGAACCTGTGGGCTCAGGCACTCCACTCACCTCAGCCTCCCAAAGCACGGGATTGCAGGCTGAGCCACCGAGCTCGACTCTCTTAATGTATTTTTAACATTTCCTGGCTGTCCTAGCACATTGAACAGACATGTATATATACCTGTGTTTTAAGTGCTCTCGTTGGTTTTCTTCGAATGTCTCAGAGCCTTCTAGCTAAGCCTCACTGCCCGTACCTGATGTTTTCCATCACTGCAGATGTCTTTAGCACCAGCACTGTGGTTTGTATGCCAGACAGCAGAGCCTGTTGTGGATTGTGCCTAGAGAGGGGTTAGCGTTTAGGTTGTTTTCCTGATCCCAGATGTGGAGCCAGCTTCTTCCATTCTGCAAGATATACTCTAGGGTGGTGGGCCCTTTAAAGAGTCTTCAGATCACAAGGGTACCTTCCTAGTGAGTTAGAACGCCAGTGCACTGCCCGTGGGGCAGATTCTCTGGAACAGACAGCTTGCTTCCCATCTGTGCTGTCTATCCAAGGCAAGCCATGCCACACTGAGATAATCACTTGAGACTTGTACTGAACAGGATAATGGTTTCTTTTCCCTAGAGTTGTTTAATCAGCAGCCTTGGAACAGATGCAGGCAGGCATGATCTAGTTTGACAACTCATTTGCGAGGGGCTGGTCTAAAGTGCTGTCCAAAGGGCCAAGGGAAGGCCTGCATATGGGATACGTGATTCACAAGATTCATCCAGAGAGGATGCCAGCCCCTCTGTCTGAAAGCCGGCAGGTGCCAGGTGGGTTCCTTTCATTCCAGGGAGAGCACAGGGAGCTAATTTCATCAGGCAGTGCCCACTGTTGGGCACTCATCAGACTCTTCTGGGCATCTTGCCTTCCTCCCTCCTGGCAAAGACACTCCCATTTGTTGTCTGCACACCCGGGGGCTTCTTGGCCCACAGGGCCATCTAGCAGTCCACTTATGGAGGCACCTTTTCACGAGGGCCACACTTGAAGAGATGTGTCAGGTGGGATTGGGTCCCTCTAGCAGCGTTAGAAGAGGGAGCTACCGCAGCGGTGTGGTAACCAGTGTGGCTCGGTGTTGGCAAATGGTCTCACACAGCAGAATCTGATGCACTTCTTTCTTTCTTTTTTTTAGAAGCTAAAATGTGTGTGTGTGTGTGTGTGTGTGTGTGTGTGTGTGTTGGAGTCTCACTCTGTCACCCAGGCTGGAGTGCAGTGGCATGCTCCTGGCCACCGCAGCCTCGACCTGCTGAACTCTGGCGATCCTTCCACCTCAGCCTTCCAAGTAGCAGGAACTACAGGCGCGTGCTATCACACCCGGCTAATTTTTGATTTATTATAGAGACAAGGTCTCACCAGGTTGCCCGGGCAGGTCTCGAACCCGCAGGCTCAGGCAATCCACTCATCTCGCCCTCCCAAAGTGCTGGGATGACAGGCTGAGCCACTGAGCCGGCCAGAGGCTAAGTTTTAACTTGTAGTTTACATCAGGAGGTCTTGTTTCCTGGCTTTGTCGTTTTTTGAGTTGTTTTCTCCTCTTCTTTGCCTCGGCGCTACTTTTCACACCTCTGTTGTATAGCCGGTCATCACGTTTAGCCTCCCATCTCAGCTGTCTGAGACTTCCATTATCTTTGTCAGCCACAGCATTCATGCCAGTGTCATCAAACTTGGACTCCATATTTTCATCCAGTAGGTGGCCAAACTCTTCAGCAGATACAAATAGGCTGGAGTCATGAAAGTTTCTTTTTTTTTTCTCAGTCCTTGAAATGAACCCGCAAAGTCAAAGTCATCTGCATCTTTTTTCTGATGCGGTCCTTTTGGACTTCTAAGAGGACAGTGAAAGATTGGTAGGAGGGACAGGCTGGGGTTGGGTGGGTTTAATTATTATTTTAAATTACTTAATCTTTAGAAAAACAACTGCATTTAGTAGATTCTTCTGTAAGGCCCCAAAGAATTTCTCTCTGCCTCCACCCTCTTGGCTTTTAGTACTTCTCTCCTCATGTCCTGAGCTTCTCAGCAACGTGTGGCTCATCTCTGTCCCTCCAGGGCCACTGGCTCAGGGCCCAGAGCTGTGGTCTTGGAGTTTGAGGCTAGACTCTTGAAAGGGCTGGTACCAGACTGGGCCACTGCTGCTTCCTAGGAGTCTTGACAATCTCAAGTCTTCAGATAGCTTAGGATTTGATCGTTGTTCTTACGATGCTTTCCCCAAGTTTGCAATCCTCTGTTGACATACCAGAATTAAAGCCAGATTTTTCTGCACCACCCTCTCCCTAAATGGTTCTGAATATCCGTGTCTGTGCCTCATTGACTCCTGTAAGATGCCACTGTCAGCTGCCTCAGTTCCTTCTAGCTCTCAATAGAGTTTTTCCTCTTCTTGAAAGACAGGCCCAGTTGATATTTATTTTCATGGTCTCCTGAAGCGACAGGTTCAGGGTAACAGAAGTAGAATTTGGGCTTACGCGTTAGCACAGTGGCAGGAAGGGACCATCTCATCACTTGGGTTTTTCAGGTTTACCCTCTGACAGCAGCTCGGCAGCCTGCGGCCCCAGGTTGATCAGCCCACAAACACTCAGCTTCGCTGCCTGACAGAGGAGCCATGGAATGCTCTGTGTCCGTGGGGCTTGCCTTCCTGCTGGTCTGTGAGCAGCTCTCTCTCGGGGAACTCACCTCCTGGCTGAGCAGCCAGTAAACGGTGTGTCTGAGGTGGGACTCCAGGGCCCACGGTGCCCAGAGGCTCCACAGACCTGGGCTCTGCTAAGCCTGTGAGTATGGCTGCCAGGAGGAAGCCACTTCCAGGAGCTTCTTTGACAAGCCCCATCTTTCAGCTTCATGCTTGATTAGGAAGAGGCGGCAGCCCTGGCTGAGCACCCTGAGTGTTTATGGAGCCGGCTGCAGGGCATAATGACATGTCAGTCGTGACACTTACTTGACTTTCTTTCATGAACATGCCGTGAATTCCTGATGATTACCCACTCCACTAGCAAAATGCTGCGCAAGCACTGGAGCTCATCGGAAGGAAGCCACCAGGCTTGACTGTTCGTGGGATGCGGGGAAAGTGGCCGTGAGGGCACTGGAGGGAGAGGAGTTGTAGCAGTGAGCCAGTGTTGGTGTGCAAGCTTTATGTTGAAAGATGTGCTGAGTCATAGGGTCTGTAAAGTTAGTTGCTGAAAAGGATGGAGTCTGCCCATCCAGTGAAGCCTCTTGGAGCTCTGAACTCTTATCACTGTAGCCTGTGAGGGAATCAGATGAGCCCAAGAACCAGCTCTGTATCAACTGGGGCTTGGGGGAGCCATTCTCATTCTGCGTTGGAGCGAGAGAACGTGGTCCGCGGTGGTGAGCGTGCCTGCCGGGCCTCTGTGCTGCTCACCCCGACGGGAGAAGCGGGTGATGAGTGTTGCTCCCAGGGACTCTGCCCCAGGGCCCCACAGGCCACATGGGCTCTGTGGCCCGCACTGTGTCATGATTTCCAAGGTGGGGGCGGGACTCTGATTCCAAGATGTCTTCTCGGAGCGACTTTTCTTGCTTCGACAGCCCTTGGCAGGGAAAGCTCCCTCTGCTGAGCTAACCTGAGGGAAAAGGGGCTAGAGCACTTGTGCCCACTGTGAAGTAGCTGTTCAGCTGACAGGTGTTTCCAGAGAGGACGGGGATTAGGAGCTGTCCTGTCCGTCTCGGTTTCTTTGCGAACAGCACTTGTGTCTGGGACTGCCGCCGAGGAGAGCGTGTGGACATGAGTGTGTGAGCTTGAAGTCTGAAGCATGAGGCCTGCCGACTTCCGTTCCCCCGCACTCTTGCATGCACGTTCATGAGTCTCAGTGTGACTCACTGCGAGTCCCCAGAGCAGCCCACTCAGAGGTTTCTCTTCAGTGCTCTGATGTACACAAGGAGGGCACCTCCTCCTGGAAAGTCATGCCATTCAGAGGCACCATCTTGCAGAGCGACAAGCCAGTGTCCCTGGGCCACAGTCGTCACATGAGGAGTCTTTCTGGACAAGTCTTGGGATCTCTCAGAATTTTATTTTGGTGGGATTGTTACCAATTGATTGCAAACCCAAAGTTTGCCCTTGCTTGCCTGAGTTCTAAGAATTCATTTGTGTCATCTTCCCAAGCAAAACAAAGGTGAGGCGGGGGAGAGAGAGACAGACTGACCAACCGACCCCCATCTCCCTGTTGAATCTTTTTTTACCCTCTTGAGAGTTACAGATGGGATCAACTTGTTTATTTTGTTATTTCCTTCTTTTAAAAAGATTTTTCTGATCTAATATTAGAAGCATACAGAAAGTATTGGTGCCTGACATACCTGCAGACAAAGTCTTGGCCCTGCCATGTGTGTTCCAGGCTTTTTCTTCGCTTTTCTTTTTTTAAGTGATGAGATAGCACAGTTAGAGCTGAAGTCTTCTCCTATTCCTTTTTTTAACTCTCACCCCAAGTGTTACCACAGTCCCTGGTCTGTGTTCCTCCTTCCCACACCTTTGCAGTTCGGGCAGGGCTTCTGGATGCCTGCTCATGATTTTAAGTATTCTTTCCACCTTCAGTGATGGTTGGCTACCCTGAGCAAGCCAGTAGATTCAGTTGTGTGCCTGGAGCCCAGATGTTTTGTGTGCATTTTAATGTGGATTGTTTTGGTAAGGAAATGTTCCTTTGCCGAACCAGTGAAAGAAACAAAAGAGGAAGAAAAGAGTAGGCCTCCCTCCACCCCACATTGCTGCTGTCTGCCAGCCTGTGTGCCCCCTACTCTCCAGCCTGGTTGTGTCCAGACAGGAACTCTGCATGGAAGGTTCGCGCACAGCTCCTCACCCGCCGGAGGTCTCTCACGAGTCCAGTGCTCTTGCATCTTAAACCCTTTGTATTAATGCTTTCCTCCTCGTGTTGGAAAAGGCTGTGCAGTCTTTGTAGGGCCTTTCAAGCCCCGCTCTGCTCCTGGATAGTGCTGTGCGGGCATCCCAGTGGGCAGACCCCTGGGATCTGCAGGCATTGGCCTCTGATGCTTCCTGCTCAGCCCAGGGTGAGGGGTAGCGGTACAAAGGAGATTTACATTGGGTATAGTGGTTTTTATCTTCCAATCACTGTAACATTCTAGGCTCATCCATTTTTAATTATAATGATTGTTTTTCCCAGTCAGCAAATATTAAGTTCTATTTTTTATTTATTTAACCAGCAGCTATTTATTGATACCTATTATGTACTCATTTCATGTTTTCAACATTGGGGCACAGGAATAAAAAGGAGAGCTCATGAAGCTTCCATGCTGTTAGGTAATTAAGCAGATGAACAGGAACTGACCGACTGGTAGTGAGCCCAGTGCAGAGAAGGGAGGAAAGGGACTGATGACTCCTGCCAGGGGTGACTGTAGACCAGGTTTTCAGGGCATTTCACCTGGCCTTGAGATGATGGTAAGAGAGGGTGGATGGGTGAAGATTGGGAGCTGAGGATTTCAGCCTGAGGGAACGGTAGCAGGTGCAAAGGCCCCGAGTCCTTTTGTTATGTCTTCCTGCTCACCGAGCAAGTTACAGCCTGGGTAGACAAAGACAGTGTAAGTGGTGTTCTAACACTCAGTCCTGTATGGAGAGCCATTTATCTGAGGTTTTGATGTGCATTAAATTAAAGCTCAAACTGGCTTACATGAGGTGATGGCGATTGCATCTCTCTGTGGGCTGAAAGCTGTTCCCTCTTTCCTCAGCTCTACGTCTCCTCAGAAAGCCGCTTCAACACGCTGGCCGAGCTGGTTCACCATCATTCCACAGTGGCCGACGGGCTCATCACCACTCTCCACTATCCAGCCCCCAAGCGCAACAAGCCCACTGTTTACGGCGTGTCTCCCAACTACGACAAGTGGGAGATGGAGCGCACAGACATCACCATGAAGCACAAGCTGGGCGGAGGCCAGTACGGGGAGGTGTACGAGGGTGTGTGGAAGAAGTACAACCTGACGGTGGCGGTGAAGACCTTGAAGGTAGGCCAGGGCTGCTGTGATGCCTTCGCTAGAGGGGTAAGGAGGCCACTGGCGCTTCCAGAGCTACATTACGAGGGCCGAAGGCGAGGGCTCCGGCAGGGCCAGGTCGTTGACTCCTCCATCTCACACCATGGGTGTTTCTTTTGTGTGAGTTGATCATTCTTATAATCCCAGTGTGTTTCCACACATGGGGAGGGCCAACGCGTGCTGAGGGGTTTGGTGTAAAAAGCCGAGTCATTTGGAGAAGTTTCCTCATTCTATGGCAAGAGGCTTTTAAAGCCGTGGGTTTCTATTCTTTTGAGTGGCTTGGAGATCGCTTCCTACTGAGAGTTAAGGAAAGGAAGGAAAAAAGCTCTCTGAGATTTGAAAGAAGGTTTAACCAAGACACGTGTGACTCGTCTGTGACTTTCTGTTGGCAGATCCTCCAGGCAGGTGCATTGGGTGTTCCCAGCAGGTTCCCATTCTGTGCCCAGACTCCTGCAGGAAGTACCCGCTAGAAAGGCGTCAGGGAAACTCGCTTTTTACCAACTCACACACAGCCCATTCTTTCTTGTTAACTGCAACTTCCACTCTCTTGACTAATGAATACTGCTTGTAGTTTCCAGACTTTTTTTTTTTTTTTAAGTTCTTTGAAATCCTTAGGACACCAAGGAAAGGAAGTTTTCATTTTCAGTCCTTTGGCTTCTTCAAATGTGATCTGAGCTTTTCCCTGTGGCGAGAGTGTCCCCTAGTGTTGACTTACATTATTTTCACTTGTTTTAAATGAGCTGTGAGTGCATTGACGTGTGCACAGACACCTAGAGAGGGAGCCCCTTTTTGTAGCTACCAGCAAAGAAAAAGACCTGAAACACCCACTGCTGGGAAAAACAGACCCAAGTTTGCGTGTGTGTCTCAAAAGCCATATACGTTTAGCTGGCTCCGCCAATGCGCTTGCCTTTCAGGTACTCGGACTTAGCTGATGCCTTCCCTCAAAGGCTCTGTGAGATAGGAAATAGGATTTCTGGCTGGTATAAAGTGACTGCTTCGGAGAAAAGATCCCTTTCTTTAGTCCTAGAACCAGGTGGCTTTCTGACTCTCATATTCAACGTGTGCCCCAGCCTTCAGGACAGGACTGGCACTTGAGAGGGTAGCATGGTTCAGGATCACCTTGAGGACTCTCGACTGTTTCCCAGATAGGACTTTTTACTAACTGAATAAATACTGATCGAGTTCCTCACTCCTTTCCAGATCCTGGGCTCAACACTGGGATTAGAAAATGAAAAGAACGGGGCAATCCATTCCGGCTCCCTCCCGCTGCTGGGAGTTTTCCTGTCTTCTAAATGAATTCCTACTTTAAAAAAGAAAATGAAAAGGACAGGTCCGAGTTCCTCACCTCTGGCAGGGGGCGGTCCAGGTAGTAGGAGAAACAGGCAGAGGGACCAGGGTAACAGTGCAGTGGCAGAGGCTCATGGTCAGAGCCACCACCATGAGAGGGTACAAGGGGGAGGACTGGGGAGCTGTACGTGTGGGCAGTTGCGAGCCAGGGCATGGCCACAGGAGAGAGACTGAGAGGAGCACGTAAGCCTCAGCAGCCTTGAACTCTGACTAGGGCACCGCTGAGAGGTTTGATGCCCAAGAAAAACATGACTCGATGTGAGTTTCTCTGAGATGGTGGTGTTGGAGTGCACTGGTGATCAGTGGCTTGTGATGGGAACCACAGCAATCTGTCAAAGGTCAGGCGCCTGTGGTTTTGGGCTAACAGATTTGTATACCTGTATGCTGCGTTTTGTAATCAGTGCCTATCTCTCTATACACGTGCAGTTTAGTTCACTATCCTCATAGGAAACAGCTGTTGCCTCGTGTCTCTCAACCACAGGCGCGCAGGAGAGGGCTGTGCCTGGGCTCCAGCACCTCAGCTGGAGACGGAGTTGAAGACCAGGCCCGAGCAACGGGGCCTTGACCAGCTTGGTGCACTGGGAAGGACTGAGGCCTTACCACACATTTCCCAGGATTTACACAAAGTACACTCGACTTCAGCCGGTGAAGGCTGGTCTGAAACTTTAAAAAGAGATTGAATTTGCATAGCTTGGTATTTGAGGAAACCTCGGTGGACGCTGCCACGGCGTTCTTCTCTGAGCAACTGCAGGAGGGTCGGAGGAGGGATCCTGCGGGCGCTCGGTGTGGTAGGGGTCTCCTCGCACCCCCGAGTCAGAATATGCTTGGACAGCCATGTATGGTTGTTCTTTTTACTATGTTTTTGATAACCCTTCCAAAGATCCTGATTGTCTTAGGATTCCCCAGTTAGAAAGGCATTGCAGGCTCCAGTTGCCTGGATTTCTGTGAGTTATCCTCCCCAAGTGGTTTCTAGGGAGGGAAAAGCTGGCATGTTTCTTCCTAGAAGTATGCTATCTGAAAGTATGGTACTAAGCAACTGCTAAATAAATTGTCCCTCCTTCTGCCTGCCCTGCACAAAAACATCCCTGTGGTATGTTGCCTATTTGTCAAGTAAGATTAGTATCAATATCAAAGCTATAGAAATTGAGGACTTCAAGTGTGTTTTATTTTTATTTTTTATTTTTTTAAGTTGGAGTCTCACTCTGTCGCCCAGACGGGAGTGCAGTGGCATGCTCCCGACCACCGCAGCCTTGCCGTGCTGGCTCTGACGATCCTTCTGCCTCAGCCTTTCAAGTAGCCGGAACTACAGGCGTGTGCTACCACGCCTGGCTAATTTTGATTTATTGTAGAGACACCGGCTCAGGCAATCCACTCGCCTTGGCCCCCAAAGTGCTGGGATTACAGGCTGAGCCACGGAGCCTGGCCCAAGTGTGTTTTAAGTTACAATGATGATAATCACCTCTTGTGCCCTTATTCTGTGCCTGGCAGAGTTTTGAGTGCTTATTACATATTACATCTCATTTACTCCTTACTGCCTTAAGAGAAGGGTACTGATATTACAAGTTGAGCACCCCAAATCTGAAAAGCCAAAATCCACAATGCTCCAAAGTCTGCAACTTTTTGAGCACCGATCTCATGCTCAAAGGAATGTACATTGGAGCTTTTCAGACTCGAGATGCTTACCCAGTAAGTATAAAATAAATATTCCAAAATCAGAAACAGTCCAAACTCTGAAGCACTTCTGGTCTCAGGCATTTCGGCTGAGGGCCACTCCGCCTGCATCAACATTTAAGCGGAAGCAGAGAGAGGTTAGATGACTGGCCTGGCTTCACACACCAGAAGTGACAGAGCCATGATTTGAACCCAGGCACCTGACTCCACAGCTCAACTCTTCTCCTTTTCCTTTTTTTGATCGTAACTCGGGTTCTTGGTCTTCAGACACCATGAAAAATATACATCAACCACAGTCATGCCCTTTTAAAAAAAAAATCACCTTTTCCCCCTCTCTCCCATTTACTTCCCTCACAGGCTGTAGCTACGATCTACCTCTCTCTTCAGAACTTCTTGAAAAACCCTTGCAGCTCTAGCCCAACTCCATTCCCTCAACAGGTCTCCGGGTCTCTTAGTCTCCCACCCTCCTGTCCTGCCCTATCGCTGATCCCTCCAAGGGCAGAATCAGAAGCCTCCATAACCAGCAGGGGGAGCGAGACCCTACTTTTAACCACCACCATTCCATACTGAGCCAGAAAGGAGGCACTGGGTCATGTACCTTCCAGACAGAAGGAAGACGGGAAGCAAATATGAGAAGGAGAAGTGGGAAACTGGAGTGACGGCCAAGGCCCATTGGGAACTGTTCGTTTGGATTTTGGCAGTATTTGGGGCATAGACTTTGCTGTACCTATGTGTTTGCTATCCGGGTTAAGGCAGGGTGTGCTTAAGAGAACCAGCTGTCATGTACAAGAAGCTTCCCTTTTGGGGAGAGATGGGGGGGTCTCACTGTGTTGCCCAGCGATCCTCCCGCCTCAGCCTCCTAACTAGCTGGACTGTATTCCAGGAGTTTGTAAGTCATTTTTTTACTATGCAACAGTTCTCTAAGTAATAGAATTTGGAAAAGACTACCTACTTTCATCTCGTGTGGCATTCAGATTGACTCATGAACTAACTGACAAATTTACTATTAAAACAGTGGGAAATAACATACAGTACATATTTCTCGAATAGGTGCTCTGTGCACATAGTACTCTTGTACCTCCAGTTTTTGTGTTTTCTTGAGTCCACGTGTGTGTGTCCTTTTTAACATGACATCTTCCTGTAGACACCACTCTGTACCTTCTGTTGTCCACACAGTATATCATGGCAGTCGTTCCTTATCTATCTACATGAGGGTGTCTTCTTTTTGTGCCGACATACTGTAGCACATACCAGCTCTCCCTGGGCCTTGGCAGTATTTCCAATATTTTGGCCCTGCAGTCAGTGCCACAGGGACTGCCCTCATTTGCACCCACGTGGAGCTGTCCAGGTGGATCAGAAACCATGTGCAGCTACAATTCTGATCACGCTGCCCGAGTGCCTTCCAAGGAGCTTGCACCAATTTGCACTCCACCGGCCATGTTGAGAAGGCGCCTGTTTACTGCCCCCGGCACAGTGTGTTTTGGTTTTATTTTCTCTCTCTCAGGAAATTGGTTTTATTGGGGGAGCTCCAGAAACAAGCAGGGAAGGCAGGGCTCCATGACAGTATTAGTACTTGGCGTCAGACACATGGCAGCCGTCTGACTTGACGACGAGGGCTACATGTTAGAGAGAGGTCACACATCTCAGAGCCTGCTATCGGCCTGTCACACTTGCTCTTGCAAGAAATCATTCTTCGCAGGGTCCTCCTTGGGCCATGGAGCTTGATGCAGTCGCAGTATTGGGGACAAGAGTTCCAGGGGTTCCCCTGTGAGGTAGTCCCTCATGGCTTTTTGCCTGATCTTCAAGTCTTATATCTGGCGTGGGGACCGCAGTCCTCAGTCTAACTTGGAAGCCTTGTGCTGTCTCTCCAGTATGTTTTTCATCGTGTTGATCCTGGTTTACCTGGTAGATAAAGGATGGCACATCGCTGTGCTTGTGACCTTGCTTACCTAGCCTTTGACTAAAAGCTAGAAACAGAAGTGGAAACTGATCTACCTGTAGACAAGAGTAGGGCCCGGAGTCCCCGCTGAGAAGAGGGTATTGAGAGCTTAAAGTCTGTGCAGAAACTGCCAGGAGGCCGAGCCATTTCTAAAAACTCTTTTTCAGGCTGTAAAATACCTAAAATTGGTGAACAAAAAGGAGGAAACCGATTAGGAAATACCTGGGAGATGTTAAGTGTGGGAGAATGTACCTGTGAATAATACAGATAGTGTAGCATCCTTTAAAGAGCCAGCCTTTGTTTCATACAAGCTGTGGTTCCTTCTTACACTGAACGCTTGGTCTGCTCAGGAATGGAGTTCAGCTGTCTTAGTAGTAACAAAGTGAGCACCAAGACAGTATCGGCTGCATTTCAGGCACTGCTCTTGGCACTGTTTGGGCATGAGGAAATTCAGATGTTCCCTCCCCTGTGCAGATAAGGAAACAGATTCAGAGAGGGTAAGTAACTTGCCAGGGTCACAGCATCAGAGCTAGGTAGGTCGGACTCATAAGTCAGTCTCCTAGCCACTCTGCTGCACCATTCAGAATGTTCATTATCCGGGCCAGTAAGTGCTTGTAAAGAGAGGCCAGTTGACCATCTCTCTCCCTGACCAGCACTGAAGAGACTGGGCTGAAAATTCACAGTTTTCACTCAAAGCATTTTCTTCACCCTAATTCATCTGAGTTCATTTTATTTTACTGTACAAATGGAACTAAAAGTAAATAAAAAATAAAGGAATGTCATGGGAGCGCATCAGGGATATTTCCAGTTTAAACAACTACAAATGTAGGTTGCTATTAACAATCTAAACTATAAATTGAACTAAGTCTGATTCCAGCAGGGGGAGACAAATCCACACTGATTTTCTGAAAGAAACACAAGGAACTGTTTCTACTTTTCCTTGTGAGTGTGTAAGAGAGACGGGAGAGAGAAGAGATGCCTTTGAAAACCATGTTGTTCCTTTTGCGTGTTCATGCCCCTCAGGATTTTTCACACGGGTCTTCTAGAAAAGGGTCAGTAGCTGTAAAAGCGAATGATGGATCCGAAATGATTTTGCTGTGCATGGCTTATTCTGTGGTGCTTTAAAATTGAAACACTTGTCTAGAAAGCCTCATTTGAGAGGCACTTTCTGAGCATGTTATTGGCCAAGCAAGATTCTTAAAGCCCAGTCCTGTACGTGAGCAGCATGGAATCCCCTGATTCTGGCAAACTTCGCTTCCCAGCATTTGACATTAGCGTGTCACCCTGGTAGATCACAGCACTCTGTGCCAAAAACAGCATGGTCCGCTGAGCATGTTAAGGAGCAGAGAGGGCTCAGAAGAATTCAACAGCCAATGGGGGCAGTAGGGATGAGTTCTTTCCCCTGTACAGCTTGGCACAGTGACTACCAACGATGTGTAATTGACATTAAGAGCTGCTCACCATTTTTAAAGAGCAATAAATTGCTTCTAAGTTTCAGTCTCACAGAGCCCAGAGCTGGGAGATAATGGGCTGACACATAGCCTCATTGGTCATGCTTCGCTTGTAAACAGGATTGACCCAAGCAGGAAAGCTGTGAGGAAAGGTTGGCCTGTCCTCTGGACGTCTCTTCCGTGTCAGGGGGACGGATGGGGCAGCCCCCAGTGAGTGAGGACAGTCAGAGCACTTTGTCTCCCAAAGGGGCAGGGAAATAGAAGCTTCCACATTAACAGAGAGTTGAGAAAGCCTTCCTCTTGGGGAGCCACATTTTCATGACGCTCGCTCCCCATCCCCCATTTCTCTTCAAAGTCAGACTCATGCTGAAACTTGGAGGCATCTCACTTCCTCTGGTGGTCTTTGTAGCCAGGTGCTCACAGTGGGACAGACCATTCAGCACCCACCTGCCTCTTGTTTGGATGATCGATTCAGAAGACGGTGGCTTTTTTTTTTTCCTTTAAAGACAAAAAGAGGCTTGGCCATGTAGGCCAAGGCCAAGGCTCTATGTGATAGGGCCAACCCCAGGATGAGGCATCACAGAACATCAGATTTGACGTAGGCTGAAAAGATGTGAGGAAGTGGAGACACAGCATCTTGTTCGTCCTGGGCACTTGCCGAGAGCTTGCTCCCCCTTGGCGTTCAGATACTGTGAACTTGTTAGCACGTGACGTGTACTGATGACACTTGTGAATGTGTTGTCAGGGGAGCTGCTGGTGAGGATTACTCTAGAATCTGAGTAATTGACCTGACAGATAGTGGCAACTGCTTCATTAGAGCCCCGTGCACCACATGCGGCAGCAGCTCAGCCTCCTCTGTGGCTGCCATGTTTGGAGGCATCATTCTTCGGTAATGCGGTGTGTCTCTCTGCCATCAAGGTGTCATTCCCTTAAATCGGTCACATTTCAGATTCTTCAGGCGATTCTTTGCTTATGCCAAGTATGTTAGGACCCCTTGGAAACCAGATACTCCTCAGGGAAGCAGTACCGTGTATGTAGTATTTGCCACTGCACATCTCACCCACCCCCACAAACTCCAAAAGGTGGGGAAACACATATGGTGTGCATAGCAGTCACCAGAAGCAAGTTGTCAGCATGTGCAAGCCAGCTTTGGCCTGCTGCCTTGGGGGAGGATTCAGAAGTTCAGCATCAAAGGGGAAAATGCTTTGTGCCTTAGGGGTGATGATCACCTGGCCCGAACCATGTGGCCATCAGAAAAGGTAGCCCCGACAAGTGTACGAAGTCGAAGCTGCAACTTGTATGAACGATTCAAGTTGTACTTTCCCACCTGCTTGCGGCAACCATTTCACCACTCCTTTTCTTCTGCAGGAGGACACCATGGAGGTGGAAGAGTTCTTGAAAGAGGCTGCAGTCATGAAAGAAATCAAACACCCTAACCTGGTGCAGCTCCTCGGTGAGTAAGCACAGCACTCTGGAGGGTGGGGCTTGTACCCATTCCCTCTGGGGCGACCAGGTGCTGGGAAGGAAGTGATGGTTGGCTCACTGCCTTGAAGGCTCTCATTCGGACGTCAGCACTCTGCCAACACTCAGCCACTGGTGTAAGGAGGCTGGTGTGTGTGTTTGTGCATGTGTATGTGTGTGTACACATGTGTACCTGTGTGTATCAGAGAGGGAGAACATGTGATTGCTTTAAATGGATACCCAAAATCAGTCAAATGCAAATCTGAAATTGGCTTCTGAAAACTTGAGAATTTTCGAGAGTTTTCTCACTAAAGTGACTCCGTAAGTAGATGTAACCACTTGAGGGCAGCTCACAGTGGCTTAGGTCATTTCATGTGGGGCCTGGTCTTTGCTTCTGAACTCAGTGGTAGTCTCTCTGTGTAAATGCAAGTTCACTGTCTGGAGAGGAAGAAAACAGCATGGCCAGGGCTCCCCCACCCCACGGGAGCACAATCTGAAGCCACAGGTGCTCGGAGCCATGTTAGAAGTCGGGCCCAGGACTCAGGGGCAGAGTCCGAATCTGTGTCAGAAGCCTTTTCTTTAGACGGTCGTCACTAAGGAGTGGAGCCCTGTGCTGAAGCCACCCGTGTCTTGTTGGCAGGGGTCTGCACCCGGGAGCCCCCGTTCTACATCATCACCGAGTTCATGACCTATGGGAACCTGCTGGACTATCTGAGGGAGTGCAATCGGCAGGAGGTGAACGCCGTGGTGCTGCTCTACATGGCCACACAGATCTCGTCAGCCATGGAGTACCTGGAGAAGAAAAACTTCATCCACAGGTAGGGCTTGGCGGAGCAGCCCAACCGCAGAACTGCTGAACTGCAGAGTCGGGTACAGGGCAGCCTTTTCGAAAGGCCCCGGCCCACGAGGTCCTAGGGCTCAGCTTCTAACTGTAGTGCTGGCAGCACATTGGACCTTGGAACAAAGGCACACGCAAGGCTCCTGACTCTACAGGCACGCGTCCAGGGCTAAATTCGGCCAGGCCTAGACCTTGGACCAGCGGAGCTGTAAATCCCCGGGGTAAGAAGTGTTTCACTTCCGAGCCATTTTGGACTAAGTGGAGTATGAAATGCAGTTCATAAAGGCGTCCTTCCTGGTAATCACAGCTCCCTCTGAATGGAGGGCTCATTTTTCCGCCGAGGCCAGTGTCCATCAGTAATGACCTCTTCCTGGGAGCTGTTGCCATTGCTTTTAGACACATTCATGATAACAGCCCATGCATGTTTAAGTGAGTGTGGTTTTTATCCTCCTTTCTCTTTATTAGCATTTCATTCTCCACTGAACTTCCTGTCATTTGGTTCAGGGATGTTTCCACAATTGTCAGGGCTGTATATATGGAGACCTAAATGAAGCATCTTTGCTGTTTTAAACCCTGGAGTGTTCTGACCTTCAAGTGTGCCACAATTATCTTGGTCTTTGCATTCTTCACTGGTGGAAATGGCTTCCTAGCAAAGTGCTAGCCTGTGCAGGACAGAATCTGATGGGCTTTGCCGGAGCCTTTCATACAGGATGTCTCCACGCCACCATCGTGACCTTTCCTACTCAATTAGCTCGAGTGTGAAGCCTCTACATGAGATTTCATAGCGAGGCATAAGAGTAGCATGTGTGAAATGCTGGCGGCTCCTTGTAAGACAGATTTTCCATGCTCCGTGAGAGCTGATCCAGATGCTCCTGGCAGCCAGGAGAGTGAACCCTCTGATGCTGCAAATTGAGATTCCTTGACTTCTGGTTTGCTGTGCATAGCTAGGTCTGTTCCTTCTTCATTCAGGCAAACTGAAACTGCTTTACCCAAATCCTATTAGGCACAACTCTTCTGTATTTAATTTCTCTCTCATTGCCGATGATCACGCTATCTTATGCCGCCATCGCCCTCAGCTGCAGCCTCTTCTCGTTCCTCACTTCCAGTTTGCCTGTGATTTCATGGCTCACGTTCAGGAACCACAGATTAGACTCCCACCTCCCTGGGCACACAGGAGGCAGAGGCAGCGGATTATGTAGGAGAGAGGTTTGGGGATGCATTTGGGTAAGCATCAGGAAGGAGGAGGAAGGTAGGTAGCAAGGCTAGGTAAAGAATGCCGTGGGCTTTGTTTTATTTTGTCCTGTCGAGTCTGAATAGGACATGCGGAGACTCGCCCTGATGGAAGTTTCTGGTGATCAAGGACTAGGCTAAGTGTGCCCCTGCCTGGAATGGTGTAGCAGTAACCACACACTGGCTGCTCTCCAGGCCTCAGTCGAAGCACTTTGCATATTAATTCATTACCATCACAACACCCCTAAGAGGTCGGCGCCACTGTTATCATCTTCATTTTACGGATGAGGTAACTGAGCCCCAAGGTAATTAACTAGCTCCAGGTCATGGGGCCAGGGAGCCGGCTCCCAGCCCAGCCCCTGCTGCCTCTCCCTGGGGGAGCTCAGGGTGCTGAGGAGCTGGTGCTCCTCCCCAGTGGGGCAGTGGCACAGCTTCTGGGGACCAGACTCAAGCTTCCCCTTGCCAGTACTGCTCTTTTGCTCAGCAGCAGAGGGTTTGTGAAACTGGGGTGTCAGCCAGGAGTTCTCATGGATGAGCTTCTTTCTTTCTTAGAGATCTTGCTGCCCGGAACTGCCTGGTGGGGGAGAACCACTTGGTGAAGGTGGCTGACTTTGGCCTGAGCAGGTTAATGACAGGGGACACCTACACCGCCCACGCCGGAGCCAAGTTCCCAATCAAATGGACAGCACCTGAAAGCCTGGCCTACAACAAGTTCTCCATCAAGTCTGATGTCTGGGGTAAGAGCTGCTGGGCACCAGGACAGTCCACATCCATGGCAGAGGCTTTTCTCTTTCTCTCCTGGCTTTTTTATACCCCTTTCTTTTTCTTCATTTCTTCATTCTCCTTATTTTGTTTCATCCTTTATTTTAAAATCCTTTTTTTTCTGTTTTCTTTCCAAAATGAAGTAAAAGTGAGGCTTTTCTTCCTAAGTAATACAAAATAACTTTTTTTTTGAGTCGGAGTCTCTGTTGCCCAGGCTGGAGTGTGGTGACATACTCATGACCTCTGCAGCCTCGACCTGATGGGCTCAGGTGATCCTTCTGCCTCAGCTTTCCAAGTAGCTGGAACTATAGGTGTGTACCACCATTCCTGGCTAATTTTTTTTTTCTATTGTAGAGATGAGGTCTTGCCAAGTTGCCCAGGCTGTTCTCAAACCCATGGGCTCAGTCATCCTCTTGCCTCCACCTCCTAAAATGCTGGGATTACAAGCATGAGCCACTATACCTAGTCCAGAATAACTTACTTTCTCTCTCTTTTTCTTTTCTTTTTTCTTTTCTTTTCTTTTTTGAGTTGGAGTCTCACTCTGTCACCCAGGCTGGAGTGCAGTGGCATACTCAAGGCACCACAACCTCAGCCTGCTGGGCTCAAGCGATCCCTCTTCTTCAGCCTTCCAAGTAACTGGAACTACAGGCGTGCACCACCACGCCTGGCTAATTTTTTTGATTTACTATAGAGACAAGGTGTCACCATGTTGCCCAGGCGGGTCTTGAACCCGTGGGCTCAGGCAGTCCTCTTGCGTCTGCCTCCCAAAGTGCTGAGATTATAGACATGAGTCACCATGCCCGGCTTTTTTCTTTTTTTAATCTTACCATCTTTTTGTCTTCATTCCAAGCTTGCCTGACTTTGCTGGGGCAGCTAGCTGCCAACCCTATAGGCACCCAGAATCTTCCTCTATGCAGGGAATACGGTTTAGAACTTTCATGTGACAATTTTTAAAATTTTTTAAACTTTTTGTTATGACAGACTGTAAACCTGCACTAAAGAAGATGGAGTCACTGAATGAGCTCCCCTCGTCCCCACCACCCAGCTTCAGTAGGCATCACCTCGTGGCGAGCATGCGTCCTCTGCTCCCCACCCGCCAGACACTTACTGTTTTTTGGTTTTTTTTTTTTTTGAGTTGGAGTCTCACTCTGTCACCCAGACTGCAGTGCAGTGGCCGCTTCTGGCCACCGCAGCCTTGACCTGCTGGACTCCAGCGATCCTTCTGCCTCAGCCTTCCAAGTAGTCGGAATTACAGGCATGCGCTACCACGCCCGGCTGATTTTTTGATTTATTGAAGAGATGAGGTCTCGCTGCCCAGGCGGGTCTCGAACCCGCGGGCTCAGGCAATCCACTCACCTCAGCCTCCCAAAGGCGCGGGATTACAGACTTGAGCCACCGAGCCCGGCTCAGACACTTATTGTTTGGGAGCACATCACAAATGTTATTTTCACATAAATATTCTTTTATGGGTCTCTTAAAGATGACTTTTTTTGATTGGCATAACCACATTGCTACCTATCAACTATCCTGAAGTTTTCAGTGGAACCCTAAGAATTACTCCTCCCTTTTTTTTACTGTGCGTTTGACCTGAGATCCAAAGATGATTCAAAGTGCATCCATGGGTCGGCCCTCAAGTCTCCCCTCATCTAAGCTCCTCCATCTCTGCATTTTCTGTGCTCTCTACTTATTGAAGAAACTCATCATTTGTTCCATAGAGTTTCTCCCATTCTGGGTTTTGCTCTTGTATTCCACCGTGTAGTTTAACATATTTGCCTGGCCTCAGTATTCTCCATAAATGGGCGGGTGCATCCAGACAGCTTGCTCACATTCAGGTTTGATAGTTTTTCTTGTCGTGAGATGCATCAGAGGAGGTGGTGTGTTCTTCCATCAGTGGGTGCACAATGCTTGATCTTCTCTTTTGTGATTTTTAGCAATTTCTGTGCCTAGATCTGATAGTTGACTAGGGGTTGCCAGATGATAATTCTCTAATTCTGTCATTTTTCTCTTGTTTATTAGCGGAGTACTTCTATAAGAAGAAACTGCCCCTCATCTGTTTGGTTGCTCAGTGGGTCAGTTCATATAAGATAAATAATTTGCTTCTTTGCCTTTGTTTACCAGTTTTTGAAATTAACTTTTTGGTTTCTTAATACCCTCAGTGGTGACCAGTTAGGTTTCTGGGGTTTTTTTGCCCATTGTGATAGTATTATTAAATCTTAGATTTAAATATATTTGATGTGTTTCAGTCCACTGCATGTATTTTCCTTGCTGAGATCTGGATTGTCTCATCTTTGGCAATGGGAACTTCAAATTAGCTCCGAGGCTTTTTTTTTTTTGAGTCAGAGTTTCACTCTGTTGCCCAGGCTGGAGTGCAATGGCACATTCACAGCCGCCATAGCCTCGACCTTCTAGGCTCAGGTGATCCTTCCACCTCAGCCTTCCAAGTAGCTGGAACTACAAGCACATGCCACCATATCCAGATAAGTTTTTGACTTATTGTAGAGACGAGGTCTTACCAAGTTGCCCAGACTGGTCTCAAACTCTTAGGCTCAGGCAATCCTCTGGCCTCAGCCTCCCAAAGTGCTGGGATGACAGGCTGAGCCACCGCGCCTGACAACTCCTAGGCCTTTTGGCATTGCCCTGTAGACATGTTACCCATGCTGTCTGGAATTATAAGATATTCCAGGTTCCTTCCTGCCCTAGACCTGAATCACTCGTTTCTCTAAGGAGCCCTTATTCTTGGGAAAAGGAATTTTATTTTAAGGCCCTAGTTTGAGGGTTTCAAAACGTTCAAAGATTTCATAAGATTTTCATGAAATTCTTAGTGCTAGAAGGGGCCTTGGAGATAGTCCTGTACACCTAGAAAGGAACAGCAGCCAGTCTTAGGCACAGAGCTGGTTGGCTACACGGTTCTGAGTAGAACACAGCTGTCTGACTCTCACCACTGGTGTCCTCCCTCCACATGTCTCAGCAAGAAAGTCACATTACCTCAGAGACCCCAGAGGGACTGGTAACCCAGCCATCTTCTCTCCTCCAACGTGTTGTAGTCTGTGGAACGGGGAAGCTTAAAGGCTCATTCTGTCCTGTTTTGTCCTGGGCTATTGGTGATTAAGAGCCTGGCAAGATATCAATGCCTGACCTGTTTCTGGGGCATAACTTCTGAAGACTCTGCACAGGTAACCCAGTTTAAATGCAGTGTGGTTAAATCTTACACATCTTGAACAGCCTTTCTCTTTCTTTTTTAGCATTTGGAGTATTGCTTTGGGAAATTGCTACCTATGGCATGTCACCTTACCCAGGGATTGACCTGTCCCAGGTTTATGAGCTATTGGAGAAAGACTATCGCATGGAACGCCCAGAAGGCTGCCCGGAGAAGGTCTACGAACTCATGCGAGCATGTGAGTCTCCCCCAGCCCCCTTGAAAAAGTGTATGTGGGCGTTGCAAGAAATTCCAATGCAGGAGCGTATACATAAAATACTAAAGTCTTCCTTCCTTTAGTCTTCAAAAGCAACTACTGTAACATAATCTTCAGTCTCTTTTCTTTTTCTTTTTTTTTTGTATCAGAGTCTTACTCTGTTGCCCAGGCTAGAGTGCAGTGACACACTCTTGGCCTCTACATCCTCGACCTGCTGAGCTCAGGCTATCCTGTCTCAGCCTTCTAAGTGGCTGGAACCACAGGCACACTCCGCTACGCCCAGCTAATTCTTTTTTTCTTTTTTTGTAGAGACAAGGTCTCACTGTGTTGCCCAGGCTGGTCTTCAACTCCTGGCCTCAAGTGATCCTCCTGCCTTGGCCTCCCAAAGTGCTGGGATTATGGGCAGGAGCCACCGCACCCACCCAGTCTTTCAGGCTTGTTTTTTTTTCTTTTGGAGTCAGAATCTCACTCTGTCGCCAAGGCTGGAGTGCATACCGTCACCGCAGCCTCAACCTGCTGGGCTCAGGCTATCCTTCTACCTCAGCCTTCCAGGTGACTGGAACCACAGACATGCACCACCACACCCAGCTAATTTTTACATTTATTGTAGAGACAAGGTCTCACCAAGTTGCCTGGGCTGGTCGTGAACACTGAGCAATCCTGTTGCCTCTGCCTCCCCGAGTGCTGGAATTACAGGGTGAGCCACTGTGCCTGGCTGAGACTTTTTTTTTTTTGAGTTGGAGTGTCACTCTGTTGACCAGGCTAGAGTGCAGTGTCACGCTCACAACCACCCCAGCATCCATCTGCTGGGCTCCAGCGATCCTTCCACCTCAGCCTTCCAAGTAGCTGGAACCACAGACTCACACTACCATGCCTGGCTGATTTTTTATTTATTGTAGAGGCAAGGTCTCACCAAGTTGCCCGGACTGATCTCAAACAGGTGGGCTCAAAATACTCTATACCTTTATTTATAGATAGTATATACGTGAGGTTTTTTGGTTTCCTCTCTTAAGCAAAAATGGGATTGATGGATACCAAACCTAGTTTCTTATTAATAAACACACATCCCTGGACCCTACCTTCAAACATTTTGCTATAATATCTAAACACTTGAAGTGATGTTTATCCAGTTGGTTTTATATTATTTACATATATATATTTGTACTGTGTCCTTAAAATGTTTTAATCATGTATTTTATAAGATATTTATATGTGGCCGGGCACAGTGGCGCAAGCCTGTAATCTCAACACTTTGGTAGGCGGAGGTGAGACAATTGCCTGAGCTCAGGGGCTCAAGAGCAGTCTGGGCAACTTGGTGAGACCTCGTCTCTAAAAAAAATTTTTTTTTAAAAAGATATTTATATGATCATTTCCTACACTCAGCAACATATCAGGCATGCCTTTCCAAGTCCATATATTCAGAGCTGTCTGTCCCTCTCCCCACCTCTTATTTTTATATAGCTGCCTGGCACTCCTTTAAATGATTTAATTCATTCTTTCAGTCTCTTTTTAATGAGCATTTGGTTGTTCCACACGTTTTTTTGGTTTTGCCATTATAAACAAGGCAAGCACAAACATTCTCCTGAATGGATCTCTAGATGCTTAGGCTGGTGTTTCTAGAAGTTGAACTGTTGATTCAGATAACTGTGAATTTTACATTCTGGTAAATCTTACAAATTGTCTTCCAAAAACATTTGTGCCAGTTCATGCGTCTGCAAGCAGCGTGTGAGAATGACCGCCCTCACTCCCCACACTGGGCATTCCTCAGCCCCTTCAGTCCTTATTTTAGTCTCGTTTTCATTAGTATTTCTTTACTGATGAGGATTTCAGACGTTGTAACCATGAAGCAAGGATGAGAGAGAAGACGAGCTGTTTGGCTTAGTAATTTTCTACACCTACTAGAGTGGGGCTGGGAAAAATATATTTGTAAATGCAGTTCTCGCCATCAGCATATCTCTGGGGTTTTACAATCCATATTCCTGCCAGCAGCTAATGTCTTTTCAAATTCTTAATGTCTGTAATAGGACACAATGGCATTCATCATTTTAACTTGTTGCAGCAAGAGATGGTAGCAAGATTGGAATGCTTCTTCCATCTCCAGACTTTTTCTTGAGAATTGCTAACCCCACATCATAGGCAAGTCCTCGTAGATGGTCTAACTTGGGTCTCCTCTGTCCAGGTTGGCAGTGGAATCCCTCTGACCGGCCCTCCTTTGCTGAAATCCACCAAGCTTTTGAGACAATGTTCCAGGAATCCAGTATCTCAGATGGTAAAGTACCCGTCCCAGGGGCCTGCATTGGGTGGAAGGTTGAGATGGGGCAGCCATGTGAGACTCCAGCCTGGGTCCTTTATTTTACTTTCTGCTGGAAGTGCATGGGCCAACAAGTCTCATCGGAAACCAGAAAACTGGGCAGAGGTGTTGAGCGTCGGGCTCCCTGTCTCCTGCAGCCCTGCAGAGTTCTGAGAGATGCTGAGTGCCCTTTCTCTAGCATCCATGTCTCTTTTAAACTGAGTATAGGTAACCACTATTATCTTGAAAAGGAGCCACTGTGCCAAGTCGACAGATACTGATGGCTGCTGGGTTGTTGTTTGTATGCCTGTGTGATTCTTAGAAGTGGAAAAGGAACTGGGGAAGCAAGGCGTCCGAGGGGCTGTGAGCACCTTGCTGCAGGCCCCAGAGCTGCCCACCAAGACGAGGACCTCCCGGAGAGCTGCAGAGCACAGAGACACCACAGACGTGCCCGAGATGCCCCACTCCAAGGGCCAGGGAGAGAACGGTATGTCCGCCACCATGTCACTCTTCTTGCCAGAGGCTCAGGGAGAGTCGATAGGCCATATCCGGGGCAGCACAGGCAAATGAGAGGCAGGCACAGCCTCCATAGGTGGTCCAGCTTCGAAAAGGGAAAGGTTCTCACTCCCCAGTGCACCTGTCCCTCCCTCGGAGTCACGCGGGAGCTACTGGCTCCAGCAGTCAGTGACAGGCAGAGATGCTTCTGAAGCCTGCTGGGGAGTGGGCTGCCTTTCTCTGTTATTCACAGCATTTGTGGTGCTCTCTCGGGGTGGGTACAACAGTGATAAGTTGAGCCAAGAGACAGCAGCTCGTGGTGAAAGCACAGGTCGAAGCTCGCTGGAGCACAGAACCAGGAGACACCTGTGGGTGGAGCTAGCCTGTGAAAAGCTTCCTGTGGGTGGAGCTAGTGTCCCCGTGGTTTCTGGGGAGAGTGTCTCTCAGGTGCTGCCCCTGAGGCCAGTGAGGGAGAGGGGTCAGCTCGGGATGGGTCTCAAGGTATTATCACAAAGAATATTAGCAGATTGGATCTTATGCTTCGTACGTGCCAGGCTTAGTTCCATTGAGCGGTTGCCCCCCCCCCAAACCAGTCTTCTGGGTTCTCAGCAGGCCAACTGAACAGCACCTGGGTTTGTGGACGCTCCCGGGGTGCTGTGGTGGACTCGATTTCAGGGGCCACAGACTGGGCAGTGGAAAGGGACAGGACAGAACCAGATCTAAAAGGAGATGTATGATAGAATGTTCACTCACAGCAGATTCTACAGACCCCAATTTTTTTTTATCATGTACCCATATTAGTTAAAAAAAAAAAAAAGTTAAATGTGAGGCTTATATATATAGTGTACACACACACAATCGTAGGAGTCTGGTACATATAATATATACCAAAATACACATTTAGAAGGTTTCCATAAGAAAATAATCCCGTGCCCCCCTGTTACTCACTTTGGAGGTTGTGGCTTGTCGGCTGTCCAGCATCATCGCCCCTCATCCTTCTGTTGGTTTCCATGCCTTCAGGTGGACCAGTAGGTGGGAGGAGGGGCCACTGTGGGAACATTGTGCTTATTAGATGCCCAGTGACGAGCAGTCATGTTCGTTTATGCCCGTCAGGGCTCATCTGAGGAGCGTTTTGATATGTGATCTCCTGGTGAGCCGCGGGTGTCAGCTAGCCACTCAGCGCCGAGGAAGAGCTGTGTATAATTCATTAGCCTCTCGCACTCTCATCCTGTTTCGCCGGGCTGAAGTTTCGGGAGGTGCTCGGCTCTCCCTGGCTCAACCATCCCAGGTGCTGCCTTGGATCTGATCAGTGCACACTTGCCCCTCTGTTCCAAGTTTCAGGTGCTGACCTCTGAGGGAGAGCGTTCTGTCACTCACTAGCGGGAGCTTGGCAGCATCAGAAAGATTTCTTATGAACTATTATTCATATTTAAAGAATGCCATTTAAAATGGCCAGAGGTTATCCCTTCTTGCTTCCATGCATAAAGGCCCGTGGTCCCTATCCCTCGGCGCCACGGCCCCATCCGCCCAGAGCGTTCCTCGTAGGACTCTGCCCGGCTGGCTGTTGGGAGAGCCACAGGTTCTGACCCCTTGCACGGCCTTGTCTGCGTCTTCACTCGCCAGAGAGTGATGGCGAGGGCCCTGCTGCCTGACAGCAAACCCACAGGGACGCCAAGGCCAGGCCATGCCACTTTTCTGTTCCCCTGTCTTCAGGGACAGAAACCTAATCCTTTCCTAGTGATGATCCTAGCAGCACCGGTGACTTTGTTGAGAGATTGTATGCTAAGAGCCACGACACGTGCTGTACATTTAGTGTGTCATTTGCATTCTCCCAGCTACACTGTAATCCACTTCTAAGTGAGAAAGCAGAGGGTGAGCTGGGGGGGAGGTGGCTTGCCTGGGCCTTGAGAGTGGGGGCAGAGCTGGCTGCCAGACTCCCGGGCGCCCCTCCAGGGAGCCTGTGTCTGGACCATCATTTCTTCCGATGTGTTTCAGACCCTCCGGACCAGGAGCCTGCCGTGTCTCCACTGCTGCCTCGGAAAGAACGAGGTGCCCCGGATGGCGGCCTGAACGAAGATGAGCGCCTTCTCCCGAAAGACAAGAAGACCAACCTGTTCAGCGCCTTGATCAAGAAGAAGAAGAAGACGGCCCCCACGCCCCCCAAGCGCAGCAGCTCCTTCCGGGAGATGGATGGCCAGCCGGAGCGCAGGGTGGCCAGCGAGGATGAGGGCCGAGAGAGCAGCAACGGGGCCCTGGCTCTCACCCCCTTGGACACGGCAGACCCAGCCAAGGCCCCAAAGCCCAGCAATGGGGCTGGGGTCCCCAACGGAGCCCTCCGGGAGTCAGGGGGCTCAGGCTTCCGGTCTCCCCACCTGTGGAAAAAATCTAGCACACTGACTGGTAGTCGCCTGGCAGCCGGTGAGGAAGAAGGCGGCAGCAGCTCCAGCAAGCGCTTTCTGCGCTCCTGCTCTGCCTCCTGCGTGCCCCATGGGGCCAAGGACACAGAGTGGAGGTCGGTCACGCTGCCCCGGGACCTGCAGTCCACCGGGAGGCAGTTCGACTCGTCCACATTTGGAGGGCACAGAAGTGAGAAGCCAGCTCTGCCTCGGAAGCGGGCGAGTGAGAACAGACCTGACCAAGTGGCCCGAGGCACGGTGACGCCCCCGCCCCGGCTGGCGAAAAGAAGCGAGGAGGCTGCTGACGAGGTGTTCAAGGACGCTGCCGAGACCAGCCCGGGCTCCAGCCCGCCCAGCCTGACTCCAAGGCCCCTCCGCCGGCAGGTCACCATGGCGCCGGCCCCAGGCCTC